AAGAGAATTTCCGACAAGCGGAGGCGGGATGAGGAGGAGGAGGAGGAGGAGGAGGAGGAGGAAGAAGAGGGGGAGGAGAAGGAGGAGGAGGAGGAGGAGGAGGAGGAGGAGGAGGCGTCGTCGTCGCCTCCTACCCCGCCCCCTCCACGTCGTCGTCGCCGCCGCCGCTGTTGCCGCCGCAGCCGTCGCCGTCGTCTCTCGGGCCGCGGTGCCGCCGCGGCGGCGGCCCCGCGGTGGCGGGCCAAGCCTGCCGCTCGTCCGCCGGCCTCGCGTGGGTGCCGCCGCCTCCTCCCGCTGCTGCCCCTGCTGCTGCTGCTGCTGCTGCTGCTGCTGCTGCTGCTGCTCCTGGTCGGCCTCCTGCCGCTGCTGCGGCTGCCGCTCTGGCCGCCGCTGCTGCCTGCTCTGGCCGCTGCCTGCTGCGGCTGCCTGCATGCTGCTGCTGCGGCTACTGCTGCTGTTGCGGATCTTTTTGCCCTTCCCCCTCCTCCTCCTCCTCCTCCTCCTCCTCCTCCTCCTCCTCCTCCTCTCCTCCTCCTCCTGCTCCCTCTCCTCCTCCTCCTCCTCCTCCTCCTCGTGCTCCTGCTCCTGCTCCTGCTCCTCCTCTGCTCCTCCTCTGCTCCTCCTCCTCCTCCTCCTCCTCCTCCTGCTCCTGCTCCTCCTCCTCCAGGACCTCCAGGCCTAACTTGAGGCCCGCATTTCCGGCCTCCCGCGTAGCGGCGAGGCCCACTGTTTTTGAAACTGGCCATTGGTCATCTGGGCGGTCCTCCTCCTTTTCCTCCTCCTCCTCCTCCTCTTCCTCCTTCTCCTCCTCCTTCTCCTCCTCCCCCTCTTGTTCTTCCTGTTGCTGCTGCTGTTGCCAGGCAGAGGGGTGGAACCTTTGACAGCGAGCTACGGTGGGCGGCTCCCCCCAGAATGCACTACCAATGTTTGAGCCGCAGGCTCTCGCCCTCGGAGCTGTGCTCACCCAACCCTCCTCCCTTCTCTGCCCTTCCTCCCTTGTCCCTCCTGCGTCCTCCTCCGTCCTCTTCCCTTCTCTGCCCTCCTCCGCCGCTTTCTGCCCTCCTCCTCCGTCTTCCTTCGTCCTCCTCCCTCCTCCGTGCTCTCTGTCATCATCCCCCCCCTCGCCCGAAAGAGGGAAGCGCTCCCCGCTGAGCCGCGCCAGCGTGCGTCCCGATCTCTGCGGCCGCGCGCGCCGGGCACGACACGCCGGTCAGAGGCTGGCGTACGCCGCTTCGGGGCCCCTGACAATGAAGGAGGAGGCCGGCGAAGAAGGCGAGGACGACGATGCTCCCGACGATGGGCGGTTCCTCCTCCTCCTCCTCCTCCTCCTCCTCCTCCTCCTCCTCCACCTCATCCAACGGAGGAAAAGACGGCGAAGAGCGGGAGGGCGATGAAGACGACGGCTCGACGGCAACGGCTCGGCCACCATCAGATCCAGAGCCGGTCCCAGAGCGCCACCCAGGGTCTGCCCCTCCTGGCCGGTCTCTGTCCCAGGGCCCAAAACGAAAACCTGGAAGCGAACGCGGCGAAACGCAGAGGAAAATATTCATATTCGACGACGGCGACGACGAGAGGAAGTGCGATGACCGCTCCTCATTCTTCTCCTCCTCCTCTCCTCCTCCTCCTCCTCCTCCTCCTCCTCCGCCTCCTCCTCCTCCTCCTCCTCCTCCTCCTCCTCATCATCATCATCGTCATCATATCATCATCAGCATCACCATCAGCATCATCATCACCATCATCATCAGAATCATAAGCATCATCAACATCATCATCGTTCTCATCATCATCAGCAGCAGCATCATCATCATCAGCATCACCATCATCGTCATCATCACCATCATCATCATGATCATCATCATGATCATCATGATCACCATCATCATATCATCGTCATCACCATCATCACCATCATCAGCATAATCATCACCACCGCGACCACCATCTTCATCGGCATCAACATCATGACCACCATCACCACCATCAACATCACCATCACCATCACCATCGCCATCACCACCACCATGAGCATCCTCATCCTCATCCTCATCCTCATCCTCATGCTCATCCTCATCATCATTCGTGTTCCAGGGCACGGCGCGGTCAAGGTAGGCCAGAGACAGGAGAACATGCCTGGAGAACACCCTTGGACAGAAATTGTTAAAGTCGCCTGGGTAAGGAGAGAACCAATGGAAAACCCTAAAACTCCAGGAAACAAAAACGTGGCCGTATGAAAACGGGTATGACGCACAGGCGGATCCTGAGAAGGGCGTGCACAATCGCACCCGGACGAATCTTTAGGCAAACCAGGCCAAACCACCACAGCTGGGAACGGAAGCTGACACGAACTAAGATGCGCCTTTGCGAGGACGAGGAGCGCATCCGAGGAAGCACGGCGAAGACGAGCTCTTTCGTCCAGGAGTTCGGGGGAGAGAAGAAGTGACCTCAGAGGCAAGCTTCCCTCCAGCGGGGAGCGGCCAAGCTCCACTGCCGAAGGAGGACGTCGCCTCCCCGTCGCCGCAGAGGATGGAGTCGAACAGCTGCTCCGTCACGTCCTTGCGAGAGTTGGCACGCACGAGCGTGCGGCGAAGGCCCTCGGAGGTGGGGCCGACCTCGTCGGCCACTGCGCTGCCCACGTACTTATACGATGGCGCCTTCGGCGAAAGTGTGGTCGTACGCGTCCATGTTGGCGTTTGCGGCGGCCTTATCCGTCAATCGGGAGCGGCCAAGAGGGGGATGTCCAAGAGGGGGGGGTGCAAATCATGACCGGCGGCATGTGCGCGGCCCAGCGGGGGGGCCAGGGACGTAATCAAACAAGAAGAGGCGCCATGAAATCTGGGGAAATATCATGGCCCCCGCCATGATATCCCCCCCCCTAGTCATCAGCCCCCCCTTTTCCGCCCCCAGGATCCGGGAGCGGCAAGTGTCCTCCGTGCGCAGGGCCGGCAGGACGTCCTCCGCGGATCTGCAGAGGCGCAGGGCTGGGAGCAGCCGCTCGTGGAGCCAGGGACGGCCAACTGTGCATGGTCTGCGCCAGATCGGTGTTTAGGTCTGCCCATGCCTGCTTCTCCAACCCGAGGCCGATATCGGCATCCGAGTGAAAGATTTGGACACCAGAGTTATGGTGCCCCCATCGTGCTCAAGGACTACATCCCAGAAATAAGTTCGAGCACCTGGAGAAAGTGCCGAAACAGTGTCGACACAGTGTCGAAAGAGTATCGAACGAGTGTCTCCCAGGGCCCGACGCGTGAAAACCCTCGAGTTTCGGGTGCTTGTTTGCTCGGAATTCTCCCTGGTGGTTCAGGCTAAACGAGGTTGGGCCATCAGAACACCAGAGCTGCACTGGCTCATCTTCAGACACGGCATCAGCAATGATGGGCGTGTTTTCCACCACTACCACCATAAGTTGGAGCGGGGGGTCCTCCTCCGCCTCCTCCTCCTCCTCCTCCTCCTCCTCCTCCTCGCGTTCCTCCTCCTCCTCCTCCTCCTCCTCCTCCTCCCTCCTCCTCCCTCCTCCTCCTCCTCCTCCTTCCCCCCCTCCAACGTATAGCGGTGGTGGCGGAAGACACGCTCATCAAGCAAGCACGCCTGGAGGCGCTCAGCCTGCCCAGGCGCGCCACCGCACCCGGGTCGTCTGCCGCGGGCGGCCCGGGCACGAGCTCCGGTCCGCAGCGGCAGTCCCCGCGGCTCCTTCGGCCCGGGAACTCGGGGGTCGTCGGGCGCTCCGGCGGCCCCGGAGAGGGGAGCCGAGGCCACGCTTGTGTGGAACCTCGCGAGGCACTCGAGGGCCGAGGGAGGGGTTCACAAGCTCGGTAGAGATGGTGTCGCTGCGCAGGGGCGTGGCTTCCCTGCCATGAGAAACCGAGACGCGCGAGAGCACCAGCGATGTACGCATGCCTTCGTTTTCATGAGCCGTGGGGAACTTTGCTTCACCTCCTGCGCCAATTCCATACTTGTTCCTATCATAAGGGCGTGGCCACCCCATGGGGTCTGCGGAAACAGCGACAGCGCACAGATTAAACCGAGAGACGAGGGATCATCAACCTTTTTTCATCAGGCAAGCGCCGTGGGACACACGGTGGTACTCTAAAGACTCGAGCCGGGGAAGTGGAACCACTTCAGCGGCTAAGTGCAATCACGAAAAATTGCCACACACACACACACACACAGTACATTTGCGGTGTGTGGGGGACGGCGGGTGGGAGCTTGAACAGGAGCGGTTTCGGAGCAGAGGGAGAGAGCAGCAGCAGGAGCAGCGAACGAGACGGACGCGGCTCCACTGCTCTGAAACTCCCGAGGCCACTCGCACTTAGGAAAACGAGTCAGAGACAATTCATTCCTATCATAAGGGCGTGGCCACCCCATGGGGTCTGCGGAAACAGCGACAGCGCACATATTAAACCGAGAGACGAGGGATCATCAACCTTTTTTCATCAGGCAAGCGCCGTGGGCACACGGTGGTACTCTAAAGACTCGAGCCGGGGAAGTGGAACCACTTCAGCGGCGAAGTGCAATCACCAAAAATTGCCACACATACACACAGTACATTTGCGTCCCATCCCCATCGTCAAATGCCCTTCGGGAGGGCGGGTGGGTTTAAATCATTATCACTGCACAGGTCCGAGGCTGGGGCGAAGAGACAAGACTAGGTGGCGCACACGCGCCTGAGGATGTCACGAACTGTCGAGTCAGTAAAACGGGCAGCTGACGAGATCTGCAGTTCGGTGAGCTTCGACCTCTGACGAAGGGCAGGCCCGTGCTTTTCATATATACGAACACTCTCTCGGGCGCGCCAGCGCCCGCGCTGCTGGATGGCCTCGATCGGTCGGATACTGTTCAGAGCGTCGTGCGAGGGCCCTCCGTGGCGCAACTGGTGAGGAACTGACAGGAGATCACCAACTCCTGCTGAGTGGGCGGCCTGCTTCAAAGTCTTTTCAAACAGAGGAAGGGAAAGAGGGTGGAACAGAGTTGGCAGCTTCAAACGTCTGGCACGGGCTCGCAGCCTAGAGAGAATCTCGGGAACAATTCGGCGAACAGGCAGGTCAGTGCCGGCCTTCACCGCGCAGTCGAAATCTTTGTTCTTGGCTGGCTTGTCGTCGCCTAGCGGCGCTACGACGACGGTGATGTCAGAAGCCCGGCCTGACGTACGAGAGCCGAAGACGTGCTCCGGCTTGATGGCGAGCAGCTCGCCAGGCCGGAAGTACATGTCGAACCCGGTCACGGAGGCCAGGCACGCCAGCAGGTCGGACGTGGTCCCGTTGTCGAGCACAGCACAGGTCAGTTGGACGGCCTCGAACGGTGGCGGCTCTCGCGGCGTAGCCGGCAGTTTTGCCGCCCAGCCAGTCAGAGCATCTTTGGCCTTATGGAAACGAGGTCGGCTAGCAGACCATCCTCGAACTTTGCAGAGCCCATACAGCGCGTTTCGAGCCAAGTACTGGGGCTCACCTGCAAAGAACAAGTCTTCGAAGTACAAGTTGAGCGTCTCGTCTGCCAGCTCCGGCGTGGTCAGCAGCAGGCCCCGGCGATTGGCGTAGTCGGTCAGCTCGATCACGGCGGACGTGTAGCTGTCGACCGTGGCTGGCCGCAGCGAAGCCAGGCGGAGGTACTCTCCAGGGGCGGCCTGTCGCTGACTAGCAGCGACGTCTCCGCGCGCGGCAGCCTGCGCTCGGCGGCGCCGGGCGGCCACGGCCACTGGACGGGGGACAGGGTCACGTTGGCTCTGGCCTGCGCGCCTGGGCGTCAGCACGGCTGAGTCGGCGTCTGCCTCGACGTCTGCCCCGCGGGCGTCGACGCCAGGCGTTGCCCGCGGCTGCCAGTGCGACCGCGGCTGCGCCGGCGCTGGTGCAACCGCCACGTCAGCGGCTGCGCGGGCGCGGGTCGAGCGCGGTGGCCCACCCTGGCCTCCAAGGGAGCCGAAAGCGCTGCGGGCAGATCGGCGCCGTGACTCCGCGAGGCTCGGCGACCCCGGCCGCGCTTGCCAGCGCGTGAGCCCGAGCCTGGAGGTCATCCTGGGTCGAGCGCCCGAAAGCACTCTGAGGGGCGTCTGGGCCGGCCAACGAGACCAGCAGGCGGCACCAGCTGGGTAGGTAAGCACCGGCCAAAGTCGTACGCCACGTCCAACCTCGCGTCGGATGCCGGGCCTTGCCCTGCAGCTCGACCCTGTGGCGGCAAGCGCAGCAGCAGCGCAGTGCAAGATGACCCAGCCCGGGAAGGCTCCCGGCGATCGCACCTGGCTTCTTGAAGGGCGCGCCGAACCTGCACGAGTCGAACAGCACCTTCGGCCAGGCAAGGCGCTGCAGCTCGCGCTGCAACGCGGGCCACTTCCAGACTCGGCTCGCAGGCGGGTTCTCGAAGGTGACGAAGATCCCGAGGGTCCGGCAGAGTCGCAAGACACGGACTGTGAACGCCACGAGCGTGCGGTCCGCCGGCGATGGATCGCGCGTGCCCCCGACGGGCACCCACCTCGTACAAGGCAGGCCCAGGTGGACCCACCAGACTTCTCCCGATTTGAGCCAATGTTCAACGAGACGCTGGACTCGACGGCTCGTGAGGTCACAGTGGGGCCCACACTTGGAGTCCATCGGGGGCATGATCCGAAAACCTCGCTCATGCAACGCACCACTGAGATTTGCAGTACCCGCGAAGATCTCGAGGAAGGCTTTACGAGGGGGGCCCCGTCGAGGAACTTCAGGAGGCCGAGGGCGCTTAGCCAGTCCCCGTTGAGGCTCTTCGTGTGGCCCAAGGTGTACAGGTGGGCCCTGTTGAAGAAGAACTTCAGGAGGCCGAGGGCGCTCAGGAGGGTCCTGTTGAGGATCTTCGCGTGCCCCAAGATGTACACGTGGGCCCCGTAGAGGAACTCCAGGAGGCTCGAGTGCAACAGGGAGGCCTCGAACATGCTCAGGTCGATCTCGTCGGGGTCGCTCGTTGGGGCGTACTTTCGAGACTTCATCTTGATGCCTTTTACTCTGGTAAGAAGAGGAATGCGTGGTAGAGGAAAGCTGAGGTGACGGAGGTGACGGAATGCAACGGTCTCTTTCGGTGTTTTCAGGCCCCAGCAACTCGGCCTGCTCTCGTCCGATCTCAAACTCGGTAGCCGCGGTCGGCGGGGCCTTGGCCCTGCCCGCGGCTGGCGGGACCACGGGAATTCGGCGGCTGCCGCTGGTGGGCGCCGACAGGGCGCCTCGTCCGCGGTAGCGTCCGGCGAGGGGCTCACCTCGGTCAGCCGCCCGGCTCCCGTGGTCCGCGACGTTGTAGATCCCTGGCACGTGCCTCGGGCGCCAGCGGATCTCGCACCCGAAGCAGACGGCCGCAACCCGGCGGCACTGCGCCAGGAGCTCAAAATTGGTGGCCCTGCCCTTCTCAAAGGCGAGGACCGACGACATGTTGTCGCACAGACTGAGGATCTCCTCCCCGTGGAAGTTGACGTCGCCTGCCGCTCTCCATAGCGGTGCGACGGCGGCGCGCGCCTCGAGGGCGTGAATACGGCCCGGCCGGCGCCACGCGCCACGGCGGCGCTCCACCCAGCGGCTAGCGTCCAGCAGAGCGTCCGCCAACGGCTCGGGCGGGACCCCGATCTCCAACTCGACCCGGCGCCTCTTGGCCACGGCGCGCCGCAGCCGGGGCGGCAGCTCGACGGGCAGTGGCCCGGAGATGTCGCAAAAGCCGGCGGCCCGCCCTTCGTACTGCTCGTCGTCGGGCGCGACCTCGGGCTCGGTGGCGACGAACCGCTGGCGCTCGCGCCATCTGGTGGCCGCCAGTACCTCCCAGGGCTCCAGTCGGGCTTCGCAGACGGCGTAGCCTCGCAGCGAGCTGTCGGTCGTGAAGGCGACGTCGGACGGCACGCGGCACAGGTCCACTTCGCCGAGGAAGACGAGGCCTGCAGCAACTGCGAGCTCACCGAGAACATCTCCAGGCAAGCGCACGACAGGGGACAGGTCGCCGTCTCCGATGAACGTGTAGCAGGACCCCAGCACGCTGAGCCCGGGGCGCACGACGGAGAAGTAGTGCACCAGGTGGCCGACGATTCGCCGCAGCTGCCAGCGGGCGAGCCATGGCGTCCGAAGCACGTGGTGCAGAAACAGGTAGAGCCTCCAGGCGCGCTTGGCGGCATGCCTGAGCCGGCCCTCGCGCCCGTCGAGCACCAGCCCCAAGATGACAAGGCCGGGCTGCGCGCGCTCGAGCTCGTGCCAGCGAAGCCCGCGACGATCCAGTTCAGCAGTGAGCTTGTCCAGCCGGTCGTTGAGCGCCGGCGCGCTGAGCGCGACAAGATTCCCGTTGTCGACGCACGGCGCCCTGACGACAGCCTGTCCGACGAGAGTCGGCGCACGGGCTTTGTCAAGGCACCAGCCGTCGCCTGGGAGGCCCGCCTCGTCCATCGCGTCGACGAGAACCTCGTGGCAGATCCAGAGCGCCCAGCTCCAGCCCATGGGCAACGCCGCGAAGCAGGGCCAGATGACGTCGTCGCCTGACACGGCCACGCGGCGCCCGAGCTTCTCGTCGTAGATCGAGTCGAGCCCGAGCTCGTCAGCAGTGACCTCCACGTCGAAGCACATCCAGCTGCCCCACGAGGGGTCGGCGAACTGGTAGAACCCGTCCATGAGGTCCACGGAGCCTGCGCAGAGCGACTCGTAGCAGCCGTCGAAATCCGCCAAGTCCTCGGGGCTCGCGCCGACGGCGTCGAGCAAGTTGATCGAGCCCAGCGCCTCACCGGATGCCTGCACAGTCCGAGGGGGGAGCTTGTGCAGCTGGTTGGGCTGGCGAGCGTCCACGACCATGCGGATGTCGCCGTTCTTCTTGGCGACGAAGAAGGTACTGACGCACGCCTTCCGACGCGCCCGGCCATCCACCAGGCCCCGTGCAGCGAGTCGTCGAAGGAAGTCGACGAGGCGTGGTCGGTTCCGAGGGTCGCGCGGGTTGAGGAGGGGGTCCCAGTAAGGCTCCACGATGACCTCGTCCTCGGGGATGTTCGGCGTGGGGCGAACGACGTCCGAGTTGAAGTGGTCCAGCGCCTCGGTGACGTGCCGAGGGGCAACGTCTCGAAGCTGACGAGGCCGGTCATGTGGCGCACGTCGTAACACATTGAGCTTGTCAGCATCATAGTCGCGGCGAGTAGAAGCCTCGCCCATGTTCGAGTACAGATCCTTGCACTTGAGGAGCTCCTGCAGGGCTCCAGCACAGTCCATGTCTTTCGGTCGGTCGCCGAAGCCGCGGACACGACGTCGGACTCGCTTGATGACCGACTCCTGGGCGGTAGTCGGCCGATGCTTGCCGGGCGCTCGAGGCTCGAGACGCCCCCCAGCCCGTGCGCCTGCCAGCGCGTTGAGCGCACCCAGAGTCTCGAGAGACCTGCGATCACGGTCGTCAGCACGAGCAGCACGCTGGGCCAGATACCGAGGCAGAGCGGCACGTTCTCCACGATGAGGGTGGCGATAGAACTCGTCGCCCTGCGGCAGAGGAAACAAAACTGTGGACGAAGTCCGACCCTCGGAGGAGACCCCCTCGGAGGGCAGCCCGGCCCGACTCGCATTCGCGGCTGCGGAGTCAGGGCCAGGCCCAGTGAGGCCGGGCGGAGTGCCCAGCCATGATGGCGCCGACATGGCGCCGTCAACCCTGATCCTTCGCGGCGGCCTTGGGCTTCGGCTTTGCCTTGCCCTTCGGATCCGCCCTGGGGCCCCTCTCCCTGTCGTCGCCCTGCCTCTCGTACTTCTTCGCCTCCGACTCCTGCTCCTCCCGGTACATCCGCTCCTGCTTCAGAATGATGCCCTGCGACTTCTGCTCCTCGGCCACGAACGCGTCGAACTTCGACGTCACGACGCCTCCGCTCTCGTCCAAGGAGCTGCTCAGCATCAGGCCGAGGCCCTCGAAGCTCGGGTGGCGCGGGCACCTCTTCACCGCCCGCTGGATCTGCAGCACCTGGCGTCCCAGGAGCTCCAGAGACGCCAGGTTCGACGGGTCCACGAGGTCGTAGGTCACGGCGTGGTGCAGCTGGTTCAGCGCGTGCCGCACCTCCTGGGCCACCGCGGCGTTCCGCGACACCCCCGACTCCGAGACCCAGTACCCCCAGCAGGACGTGAGGGTCAGCCCGGTGGCGAGGATGGCGGCCAGCAGCTCGGGCAGGGCCTTCGGCCCCCGAAAGGGCCAGTCGTCGAAGTCGACCGCGTTCATCTTCGCGATCGCCTCCCCGAGCGTCACCTGGAGCCCGCGACCCCGCCGCGCCAGCGGGAGGATCCGCGGGTCGCGTCCCGGGCCTCGGCGCTTCTCGGCGCGCCAGTCCTCCTCGTCGGCCGGCTGCACGTTCTCGACCGAGACCCAGCCCTCCTCCTCGCTGAGCATCGCGATGCCCACCGCGTCGCGGCTGATCAGCCGCTCCGGGTTCCCGATGAGGTGGAGGTCCAGCTCGCGCCCGAACTCGGGCGAGCCTGGGTCCGAGACGATCCAGCGCGGCACGACGCCGCCAGCAGTCCCAGCTGGGGCAGCGACGCCCATGACCAGGGCGAGGCCGCGCGCCTCCACGCGCAGCGCCTCGATGTCCTCGTCCGACTGATCGCCGAACGCGTAGACCTGCCCACGAACCCGGACCGGGAACGCGGACACCCGGCGCAGGGGGACGACCAGGTGCTTGCTGAGGTCCAGCGTCAGCACCTCGCCGTCGGGAGTCGCCGCCACCCAGATGCCAGGGCTGAGCTGCTCGAGGAGCACCCTGTGGTGCCACTGGAAGTTCTCGTCGTCGTCGTAGTTCACGCACACCTGCGCCTCGGGCACGTCGAGCGTGCGCATCGCCGCCGCCGCCATCTTGCCGACGGCCGACGATCAGGCTACGCTCGCACTGCCCGAAAGCGGCGCTGCGCGCCGCCGTCCTGGCCCGCTCCGTCGTCCTCGACGAGCAGGGTCACGGGCGCCGCACCCTCGCGCCGCGGCGGGTCGGTCCCGCCGACGAAGAGCGAGGCGGCTCGGGCGGCCCAGCCCAGCGCCACGCGGAAGCTGCCACCGGCCGCGAGGCCAGCCGCCAGGGCGGCAAGGACCGCCCACCAGCCTGGCCCGGTCCCGCAGGTCAGACTGCAGTCCGGGCAGCCCGGGCAGCCCGGGCAGGGGGCGGCGGCCGCCGCCGGAGGGCACGCGGGGCAGGCCCCGCACGTCACGCGGGCCTCCGGGCACGCGGGACAGCGCGAGAGCCACGCGGTCGCGATGGAGGCCGCCCACGGGCCGGCTGCGGCCCACGGCACCACCATGCGCTGCCGGGGGCCCCTCGAATGATAGAGCTTGAGCAGGAGCGGTTTCGGAGCAGAGGGAGAGAGCAGCAGCAGGAGCAGCGAACGAGACGGACGCGGCTCCACTGCTCTGAAACTCCCGAGGCCACTCGCACTTAGGAAAACGAGTCAGAGACAATTCATCGCTGGAGCGAACCCCCCGACCTTCACGGTGGAGCGATTGTCCGTCTCGGGGCCGATCCTTTCGTCAGAAACGTCTGGAAGAGAGTCTGCGGCGTCCAGGTTCGAGACGACGGCGAAGCCGGAGGGGCCCGAGTGCGGACGTAGGATGACGACGGAGCCGCGCAGCCACGGACGGTGGAAGGCCAAAAGTCCAACCGTCGGGCAAGAACCCACCCACTCCAACGTCCACTGGGGCCGTCACGCGGTCGGTGTGCTCTGGCGCGTCCTCGTAGTTCATGACGTCTATCTGTTGATCAGTGCCAGTATCCTCAGCGTGTGGGTCGATCTCGCACGCGATTGTCTGCATGAAAACGCCATGATGAGCAGCCAACTCCCCGAGGACGGTCCATCCCGTTAGAAAGAAATGGGAAGCGTTGACGCTCACCTGCTGGAGCTGTTTGTAGGTGTCCAAATAGTGGGCAAGGCCACTGGGAAAGAGCGCATCCACGCTGCACTTCGCCTGAAGGAGGGACAAGCGCGCAACGTTGCGGAAGTCTCGCAAGTCACGGCGAATAGTAGCAAGCTTGCGGTGAAGACCACGAATCGCGCGCCTGGCTATCGCAACTGCCGCGAGGAACAGACAAACAAGAAGAGGTAATATTCTCATGGAGCGCCTCACCGTGCCGCTGAAGAAGAATTTTGAGCCACGGTTCCTCGACGACGACGGCGACAATGAGTACGAGGAGGAGGAGGAGGAGGAGGAGGAGGAGGAGGAGGAGGAGGAGGGAGAGGAGCAAGAGCAGCGGGAGGAGGATCAGAGTAAACCCAAGATGCATCACTGATGCTGCAACCAACACACCCTCTAGTCCCAGGCCCTCTGCTCATAAGTCCCAACAAGCCTTCTCCTTCAAGAGGCAGCCACTTGAAACACCAGCACCCCAGACCCGCCATTCAAGCAAGAGCCCCGTTTTGAAACCCGTGTACCCTTCCAGCGATTGCAAAAATGAGCGCGCGAAGAGATGACCATACAGCTCAACGAGGTGTCGAACGGCTTTCCGATTTTGGCAGCAAGCAGCGCCACCATCCGTGCAACTCTCTGCACAGGTTTTCACTTCTGGCCACGAGCGCCGAGCAAGTCTGCGGCGAAAAGCCAGTGTTGAAAAAGAAGCGCCGTCTACTCGTGCAGCTGTACCATGTTAGTCAAGCGCCGGGCCTTGAAACCCAAAGTCTCCACCGAACGCCCGGTGCCGAAAAGGAGCAGCACTTCGTCCGTGCAGCTGCCGCACCTGCGCAAGTTCCTGGTCCTGAGAGAATCGGAAGAGTTCCCAAGCGGAAGCCCAAGCTTGAACAACACAGCGCCCACCACGCTTGTGACCGCGCCAGGCTGTTTACAACGCTAAAGGTGAGAGCCCAGCGCTGAAAAGGAACCGCCCTCTATCACTGAAACATCAGATTGAAACTGCTGCAACTGTTACGACGACTGTCCGCGGCGCTGAGGTGAGCACCCACTTGTGAAAAGGAGCCGCCCTCCATCCGTGAAACTGGTTCATCTTTGAAGACGGAGGCACATGTTGAAAACCACCCCCATCCTTGAAGTTATTGCAGCTTTCAAGCTCCAGGGTCATAGATGGTGAGGCAGTCTCTAGCCAAGCGTCCAGCACGCCCTACTGACACGCCTGGGAGTGCGACAGGGGGGAGGTTGCAAGGAAAAGGGATGGAGGAGGAGGAGGAGGAGCAGGAGGAGGAGGAGGAGGAGGAGGAGGAGAGGCGGAGGAGGAGGAGGACGAGGAAGACCAGTGAAACTCGCCGGCCCAACGGGCCAAAGGCGTGCTAGGATCTCCGGTAACTGCTTCATTTCTACTTCGCGCGCGCGGGGCGGCCCCTAGGCTAGGGGTCCCCGGACGCAAAGTTTCCCGGCCAGGTCCGGGCCAGAGATGGTGGTCCTCTTGGGCGCGGCTTTCAGGCGCCCCAAGGGGCGCCTAAGACGGTCCACGAGGGCTGCGAGTCGTCGAGTGATCGGTCCGAGACACCCACGATGGCTTCCAGACGGCCCACGACGCGTACAAGATCCCCGAGGAGGCCACCAAGAGGCCTCCCAAGAGAGCCCCAAGAGGGCCCCGAGAGGCTCAAATCGTCGATGGTACTTTTGTTTCTGGAAGATTTTGGCCTGCTCGCCTTTTCGGCGTTCCGACGCTCCAACACGGCCCAAGAGGCCTCCAAGACCGCCCCAAGACGGCCCAAGAAGCCTCCAAGAGGGCCCCAAGACGGCCCAAGATGGCCCCAAGACAGCCCAAGAGGCGCCCAAGACGGCCCAAGAGGGCCCCCAAACGGCTCCAAGAGGGGCCCACAAGAAGGGGACCAGGAACCGAAAAGTTCAGCCTTCAGCCCCAAGAGGCCCCCAGGAGGCCCCAGGAGGCCCCCAAGAGGCCCCAAGAGGCCCCCAAGAGGCACCCCAAGAAGCCCCAAGAGGCCCCCAAGAGGCCCCAAGAGCCCAAGAGGCTCCAACACGGCCTCCAAGAGGCCTCAAACTGCCTCCCAGAGGCCACCGAGAGGCCAACCACGACAGCCCAACCAACATCCATGAGGCCTCTGACCCACCACCCACCGCCTCCGAAAAATGAATGGCAGCCGCCCAACGGCACCGCACTGACAACAACACCCCGAGAAAAGACAGCGACGAGGCAATATGGGCCGGCGGGATGAGCGAAGCGATCAAATAAAGGCTCCCTCCAAGCTCCCTCTTCATAGGCCCCTTCAAAGATAGTGCCGCATTGGGGGACAACCGCTTGAAAATCCTGAAGCGTGTCCAAACACCATTCTCGGGACCCCAACGCCACGAATCAACCTGACTGTTACGTCTTGACGATCCTGAATCGCGCCCGAACGCCATTCCTGGGACTCCAACTCCGCGAATCAACGTAACTGTTGTGCTCTGACAATCAGGAACCGTTCCAGGACACCATTTCTGGTGCGTTGACCATGGAAACCCATGGAACTCTTGCACATGTAAACGAAAGCGCGCGGCGCTAAGACGAGAGCCACGATGTGAAAAAGAACCGCCCTCAGTCTGTCAAGTATTGCAACTTGTTTAAACGAATGTGCGCGGCGCTAGAGCGAACACCACATGTAAAAAACGGCCCGCCTCTAATATATATATATATATACATGAAACTCTTGAATTATGTTTAAACGAATGTGCGCGACGCTAAAGCGAGAACCACATGTTTAAACTGGCCCGCCCTCAATCCGCGACAGTCTTGCAATGTTTAAAATACATGTGCGCGGGGCTAAAGCGAGAACCATATTTTGGTACCAGCCCGCTCCAATCCGCGAAGCTCCTGCAATGTTTAGCAACGAGCGTGCGCGGCGCTAAAACGAGAACCACATGTTGAAAACTGCCCTCCTTTGATCCGTGAAACTCTTGCAACTTCTTTAAACGAATGTGCGCGGCGCTTAGGCGAGAGCCGCATTTTGAAACTGGCGCCCTCAACCCGCAAAGCTCTTGCAATCTAAAAAATGACTGTGCGCGGCGCTCTCGTGAGAGCCACATGATCAAAATCTCCCGCTCCTATCTGTGAAACCGCTGTCACCTTGTAAGCATCAAAATCATAGATGGTACATAAGTCTCAAGCGAAACGACGGGCCCGCCCTGCCAGCGGGCCCCGGGGTGCGACAGGGAGTAGTTGCTTACAAGGAGAGGGAGAAGGAGGAGGAGGAGGAGGAGGAGGAGGAAAAGGAGGAGGAGGAGGAAAAGGAGGAGGAGGAAAAGGAGGAGGAGAAGGAGAAGGAGGATGAGGAGGAAAAGGAGGAGGAGGAGGAGGAGGAAAAGGAGGAGGAGGACCGCCCAGATGACCAATGGCCAATTTCAAAAAAAACAGTGGGCCTCGCCGCTGCGCGGGAGGCCGAGGACGAGGACGCGGAGGAGGACGAGGACAAGGACGAGGACGACGATGACCACCGCGTCCTCTCGCGGAGGAGGAGGAGGAGGAGGAGGAGGAGGAGGAGGAGGAGGGAGGAGGAGGACGGAGGAGGGAGGGAGGAGAGGAGGACGAGTCCCCCCGCGCCGCAGGGTGTCGCCGGCGCGGGGGAACTCGGAGGACGAGGAGGAGGAGGAGGAGGAGGAGGAGGACGAGGAGGAGGAGGGCGAGGACGAGGACGAAGACGAGTTCCCCCGCGCCGCAGGCGTGTCGCCGGCGCGCCTGCTCCGCAGCGCTCGGGGCCGCCGCGCTCGAACTGGAGCTGCGCGCCTCCAGGGCGCGCTCTCGGAGGGGGTAGTGGGGGGAGGGCGACGATCGCGGAGAGAAGGGGAGAGGAGGAGGAGGAGGAGGAGGAGGAGGAGGAGGAGGAGGAGGAGGAGGAGGAGGAGGAGAGGAGGAGGAGGAGGGAGGAGGAGGAGGAGGGGAGGGGGAGGGGGAGGGGGAGGAGGAGGAGGAGGAGGAGGAGGAGGAGGAGGAGGAGGAGGCGGAGGAGAGAGGAGGAGGAGGAGGAGGGAGGAGGAGGAGGAGGAGGAGGGGAGAGGAGAAGGAGGAGGAGGAGGAGGAGGAGGACGAGGAGGAGGGGGAGGAGTGGGAGGAGGAGGGCGGGGAGAAGCCATGACCGCCACAAAGAACTGAGGCGCGTTGTGGCTCCGCGCCAGCCCGCGTTGCCAGCCGCGCCCAGGGACCCACTCCAACGCCCCCTTTGGCGTCGAGGCCATGCTCACCAGGGCACGCCTCCCCGCACGCCTCTCGTGCTTCCTCGTGCTCCCCATTGCGCTCACGGCGCAGAGCAATGCGCAGGCTGGGGTGCGCAGCTAGGAAAAGCAGGCCCGTCTCAACTAGAGCGGAGGACGTCAGTTTGTCGTCTAATGGGGGCGCAAGAAC